GCAGGAGTTTGCCTAATTGCTAATTAACATAAAATAAGCAATTAGCAATTAGCTAGGACTTCTACTTTGTATGGATATAGTTTTATTTTCAGGAGTATTAAAGGTTGAAATGTATTGTGACAGCCCCTGGATGATAACAAACAACAGACTATCATCAGTGTATACGATGATATGCTGAACTCTTATTTTCACATGATGCCATTTGAGACAACAGGATGGTTCATGTGGAGTCTTTCAGCTTTGTTTTTGGTCTCCACCACCTCCAGAGGGAAATATGATAACCAGTTTAAGCTCAGATCAACATTTAAACGCTTCATAGCTAACTTTAGACAACAGTGACTTTAACTAACGTGATGCTAGTTTGGCTGAATGCTAATGATAGTAGCAGTTAGTAAACGATGGTGGAACACGGTCTGACACAGTTACATAAAATGACCAGAGGAAGGACTAGACGAGCAGCTCGGTGACTCACACCTGAAGCAGGTAATGACTAATCTATGATGAATTACACCTGAGTGTCTGCCAGCTCTGCTCTGCTACTGTCTCCACACACACACACACACACACACACACACACACACACACACACACACACACTGTAAATAAACACACTGCGTGTCTAACATTCCTGGGAGGGGATGTTTGATTGAAAGCTCAGGGTTTCAGTCCAGAGATACAACAGGTGATGTTTTAGTTTCTGTGCGTATGTTAACAGTCTCTAAGCGGTAACCACGGCGACCTGAGGCGCGTATGAAGACCTAAGGGTCTTTGGTTCATTTCTTTGTGAAGTCGGGCTGAGTCCATGTGAGACCGGTTTAATCGTCGTTCTAAAGCAGCTTCATATGTTGTTTTGTCCAGGAGTGCATGAGGGAAAGGGACTATAGAGGACTATAGAGGACTTAAAAAGGGTTGTGATGACTTCACAGAGAGGACCAGGAGGACTTGGAGGACTTGGAGGACTTGGACCTGCAGGGGAATAGAAGAGTCTGATGAAGACGGTAAAGAAAGATGGGACTGTGTGGTATTGAAAGACCTGGAGGATCGTTGGGGACTAGAAGACTTGGAAAGGAACTGGATTTGTCAGAGGAATCTTGCAAAGGGCTGTTAAGACTCAGCTCCAGGAATTGGAGGACCTGAGGAAACAAGAGAAATTTAAAAAGAAGTGTGAAAGAGGAGAAGGATGGCTTGGGACTAGAGAGAACCAAAATAAAGGAGGCATGTCAAGAATCAGACGACTTGGAGGAGGACTCAGAGGACTTAGAGAGACTGGGAGCTTGAACTGTTTTTTGGAGTCTGGGTGGCCTAATGTGCACACACACACACACACACACACACTCTGGGTGGAAACACATTAAGAAGACAGATGGCTGCAGAGGGACTGATGTTTATCCAGCGGGTTATTTAAAGACAGAAGACGGATTGATACGATCGAAGAAAAGATAAAGACGTGAGAGGAAGAAGAAAAGAGAGCGAGCGAGAAATGAGAGGAGAGATAACGACTGTAAACACACAACGAAGACAAACAGACGACAAACTCACTCACACTTTTCTTTTTCCACTCAATCTTTTTTTAGAAATGTTTCCAGTCGATTTTCTGAGCTTCTGATCCAAATGTTAACGCATTTTTAATCACTCCAGACATTCACAGAGTCGGAAATCAGGGAGAGAGAGAGAGAGAGAGAGCGAGAGAGAGAGAGAGAGAGGGGAATGAAGGGAAAGAAGCCACAGGTGGGAAGTGAACCCAGGCCGCCCGCTTGAGACAACAGCCTCCATACATGGGGCGCGCGCACTAACCACTAAGCCACCAGCGCCTCTATGTCGTTCTTTTTTAACTGGAATCAAATTGAAGTTTAATTCATCCAAGCTGTATGTTAGCCTAGCTTAGCTGCTAAGTTAACTGCCATGTGATCGTTATCAGGTTTTTTCCTCACAGGAAGGAGAGTAGGCTATATATCTTATTTCCTGGTGTTTTCTCAGGTCGTGTGTCTAATTTAAGACGTCTCTGTTTGTGTATGTGTCAGCTCATATTCAGTATCAGTGTGTCTGTGTTTGGTGAACATGTAGCAGAACATTTGTGGTGTTTTGCAGCTGAGCAGTAAACATGTGTTGAATGAGTCGAGATAAGAGCAGGTTGTGAGGTTAAAGCTCCTGGTGGTGATAGAGTCATAAATACCAGACTGACAGCAGAGCGATCCTCCTTCAGCCTGCTCATCATCACACATCCACATTACCCAGGATTCATCTGAGCGACCACACTTCACAATCCCCGCGAAGCAATTTGATGCACATTATAAATTAGAGCTGTGTAGTAGAGTACAAACATGTGATCACATTTTTTTAAGATGCAGAGTTCTATTATTGGAAATATTGTAAACACATATTTCCTTCAGGCGCTCAGCTTCAGACTGCTCCTCCATCACGTATAATCACTTTTCCATGGCTGCTCGTCCTGATGTCATGGTATGAACATCAGTCGTGCTGTGACTGATGGACAAATCAGACATTTCCGATTTATAGAGACATAATCAGGGTTGGGAAGTAACGGATTACATGTAAGGGCGTTACGTATTTAAAATACAAAATAAGAGTAACTGTATTCTGTTATAGTTACAGTTTAAATTGGTGTATTCTGAATACAGTTACTTTCTCAAAAAAAGGATTACTTGTAGGGATTACTTTACGGCACTACACGCAGGTTGCACTGTGCAGGTGCAGAAGCAGGTGGCTTTATGTTAACACTTTCCACACGCTCCACCGGCTGAGAGTGCTCACATGCGGGGAAAGAAAGGAGGGTTAATGTCCGCTGGCTCGCATGTAGCCTGTCCTACACTCACAAACAAGGTCTATTTTAAATTGTGTATTTTTATAAGGGCTTTCTGCATCAATGTTCGAGGCTCAGTGGCTGTAGTTTGGACATGCAGAGCAGAGAAAGCTGCTCTACTTTAATATACTGTAACGTTCTGCTTAGTGAAGTTATGAGACGTTATTCAGTTTCCATGGGTTTTATTTCCCAAACTTAACACAGGATACTGAGGGCCGTAGCCAACGCCAAAATAACAAACCTACAGTCTCTCTATGAGTAACGGTACTCCCCAGCTTAGCTACCGCACACACACTCACACATACCCACACAGACACACACACAGCGCACAGTCCCACCTTTCCCTCAAGCTCTCGACCAATCACACACTTGATAACCTGCGTAGAACACTGTCATAGGCACTTGAAATAGCAGTCGTTATCTTAACTAACAAAACAGTTAACAACATGAAATCTGATCCGTTACAATAATAATTTTATGTGCTTGACGATTTTTAAAAAATCATTTAAATATTGCTGGGTGATCAATAACATTTTTCTGTGGTGGTACAAACACATATTTATTAATGCCTTACAGACTTTAAAGTGTACTCTTAGAGTATAACAAGTGGCAAAAAGAATGATGTGTTCCAGATAAACACGCTCAGCTAGACGATTTTGAAGTAAGCTAAAAGTAATCCAAAAGTATTTAGAATACATTACTTTACTTGAGTAATCCAAGGGAATACATTACAGATTACATTTTAGGACATAAAAGTAACCCTCCCAACACTGGACATAATGTTGTAGTAGTGTGAAACGACTTAAATATGTTTTTAAGACCCCATCAGCATCTGTCTTCTTAAAGGAGAGTAAAGTTAGGTTTCTGTATTCCAGCAGGTGAATGGAATAATAAAGGTGAGACGATGCTCAGCTCTTTACAGCTGCAGTTCCTCCAGTGTCCACTAGAGTCTGTCTCCTGCAGTGAGTCAGTCCCCATAGAGCTCTATGTTAAAATGTCTAACTTTACAGCTGCAGTTCCTCCAGTGTCCACTAGAGTCTGTCTCCTGCAGTGAGTCAGTCCCCATAGAGCTCTATGTTAAAATGTCTAACTTTACAGCTGCAGTTCCTCCAGTGTCCACTAGAGTCTGTCTCCTGCAGTGAGTCAGTCCTCATAGAGCTCTATGTTAAAATGTCTAACTTTACAGCTGCAGTTCCTCCAGTGTCCACTAGAGTCTGTCTCCTGCAGTGAGTCAGTCCCCATAGAGCTCTATGTTAAAGTCGTTAAATCTTGTGCGTGTTTTCTGACTTTTCCCATGACTTGGCGCTCTCATGTAACCATGACGACCTCGATGTCAAACTGTCCTCGTTGTGTTTCTGCTCTCGTCTGTTCGTGTCATTACTGCTGTTACTCTAATCACTGCATCAAGAGTTTGAGTTCAGCGTGAAGAAAACAGCCGACTCTTTGAACGAACGATGAAGGTCTCTCCTCGACTCTGACTGCTGACCTTTGACCTCCCACAGGAGAGCAGCTTATTTCCCTGAAGAGAGAATGAAAACAACTTCAGCATGTTAACTGTGAGAAACATGAGAAGACTTCCTCCTCTCAGACAGGAAGTGACCAGAGGCAGAGAACAGGTGCTGACAGGAAGTGACCAGAGGCAGAGAACAGGTGCTGACAGGAAGTGACCAGAGACAGAGCACAGGTGCTGACAGGAAGTGACCAGAGGCAGAGAACAGGTGCTGACAGGAAGTGACCAGAGGCAGAGCACAGGTGCTGACAGGAAGTGACCAGAGGCAGAGAACAGGTGCTGACAGGAAGTGACCAGAGGCAGAGAACAGGTGCTGACAGGAAGTGACCAGAGACAGAGCACAGGTGCTGACAGGAAGTGACCAGAGGCAGAGAACAGGTGCTGACAGGAAGTGACCAGAGGCAGAGCACAGGTGCTGACAGGAAGTGACCAGAGACAGAAAGAGACAACCTTTAATAGTGAAATGATTTTATTGCAGGAGAACAGGAAACGTTCTGAGCTTCAGAAATGTTTAAACAACAAATTAAAGATGATAAAAACAAAGAACTTAATGAAGACAGTAACGATCTGCCTGACAGACTGAACTCAGGGAGACACACTCATGGACGCGCCCAGCTCTGTCTCATGAACGCGCCCAGCTCTGTCTCATGAACGCGCCCAGCTCTGTCTCATGGACGCGCCCAGCTCTGTCTCATGAACGCGCCCAGCTCTGTCTCATGGACGCGCCCAGCTCTGTCTCATGGACGCGCCCAGCTGAGTCGTCTCCATGGCAACATCAGTAAATAAGTGGGCTCCATTTGTTTATCTGAAGTGTGTGTTTGTGTTAAGGTGACATGCGCGAGAGGAAGGTGAGGCGGAAGTGAAAACAGGAGGGAGCGTCACGACAGTCACCTGTCACAGGTGTTCAAGCTGATTAACAGAGAGAAGAGGAAAGAGAGGAGGAGAAGAAGAAGAAGACAGAAAAGTAAGTTCATTGAAACTCAGGTGAAAGGTGTTTAATGTTTTTAAAGCTGTTCGCCGTCATTGGTCTGTTTGTGACGTCATTACAGATGCGGAACACAGTGTATCCTCCACGAGCTAATTGTTACCTGTTAGCTTGAAAACCAGCTGCGACATTACACCGGCCAGGTGTGTTGAAGTGTTTTTAATAACTCACTGAATGTTCATTAAAAAGATGCAGATGGTCCCGGAAGTGACGCTGGGTTAGTTTTTCTGTGCTCAGCAGGTTATCTCCACTTTTTAGAGCCACTGTGGAAATGTTCTGATGAGACTTCAGGAGGTTTCTGCGCATGACCAGGGTCCAGTCATCTATCAGATCTAGTCTAGTGGACTCTAGTGGACTCATTATCAGACCTACAGAAGGAGGATTGGGTTCTTGTGATGCTGACTGACCTCTAACAGAATTTAAGAAAGTTATTTAACTTCTGTTTAAAGTTTACATTCAAGGTTCTGTTGGACTGTCTGTAATAGGATATAATAGGGTTCTAGTAGTCTGTAAGAAGGGTTCTAGTAGTCTATAAGAAGGGTTCTAGTAGTTTATGAGAAGGGTTCTAGTAGTCTGTAAGAAGGTTTCTAGTAGTCTGTAAGAAGGTTTCTAGTAGTCTATGAGAAGGGTTCTAGTAGTCTATAAGAAGGGTTCTAGTAGTCTATAAGAAGGGTTCTAGTAGTCTGTAAGAAGGTTTCTAGTAGTCTATGAGAAGGGTTCTAGTAGTCTATAAGAAGGGTTCTAGTAGTCTGTAAGAAGGGTTCTCTATAAGAAGGGTTCTAGTCGTCTATAAGAAGGGTTCTAGTAGTCTATGAGAAGGGTTCTAGTAGTCTATAAGAAGGGTTCTCTATAAGAAGGTTTCTAGTAGTCTATGAGAAGGGTTCTAGTAGTCTATAAGAAGGGTTCTAGTAGTCTGTAAGAAGGTTTCTAGTAGTCTATGAGAAGGGTTCTAGTAGTCTATAAGAAGGGTTCTAGTAGTCTGTAAGAAGGGTTCTCTATAAGAAGGGTTCTAGTCGTCTATAAGAAGGGTTCTAGTAGTCTATGAGAAGGGTTCTAGTAGTCTATAAGAAGGGTTCTCTATAAGAAGGGTTCTAGTAGTCTGTAAGAAGGGTTCTAGTAGTCTGTAAGAAGGGTTCTAGTAGTCTGAGAAGGGTTCTAGTAGTCTGTAAGAAGGGTTCTCTATAAGAAGGGTTCTAGTAGTCTATGAGAAGGGTTCAAGTAGTCTATAAGAAGGGTTCTCTATAAGAAGGGTTCTAGTAGTCTGTAAGAAGGGTTCTCTATAAGAAGGGTTCTAGTCGTCTATAAGAAGGGTTCTAGTAGTCTATGAGAAGGGTTCTAGTAGTCTATAAGAAGGGTTCTCTATAAGAAGGTTTCTAGTAGTCTATGAGAAGGGTTCTAGTAGTCTATAAGAAGGGTTCTAGTAGTCTGTAAGAAGGGTTCTCTATAAGAAGGGTTCTAGTCGTCTATAAGAAGGGTTCTAGTAGTCTATGAGAAGGGTTCTAGTAGTCTATAAGAAGGGTTCTCTATAAGAAGGGTTCTAGTAGTCTGTAAGAAGGGTTCTAGTAGTCTGTAAGAAGGGTTCTAGTAGTCTGAGAAGGGTTCTAGTAGTCTGTAAGAAGGGTTCTCTATAAGAAGGGTTCTAGTAGTCTATGAGAAGGGTTCAAGTAGTCTATAAGAAGGGTTCTCTATAAGAAGGGTTCTAGTAGTCTGTAAGAAGGGTTCTAGTAGTCTATAAGAAGGGTTCTCTATAAGAAGGGTTCTAGTAGTCTGTAAGAAGGGTTCTAGTAGTCTATGAGAAGGGTTCTAGTAGTCTATGAGAAGGGTTCTCTATAAGAAGGGTTCTAGTAGTCTATGAGAAGGGTTCTAGTAGTCTAAGGGTTCTAGTTGTCTGTAAGAAGGGTTCTATATTAGAAGGTTTCTAGTAGTCTATAAGAAGGGTTCTAGTAGTCTGTAAAAAGGGTTCTAGTAGTCTATGAGAAGGGTTCTAGTAGTCTGTAAGAAGGGTTCTCGTAGTCTGTAAGAAGGGTTCTAGTAGTCTGTAAGAAGGGTTCTCTATAAGAAGGGTTCTAGAAGTCTGTAAGAAGGGTTCTCTATAAGAAGGGTTCTAGTAGTCTATAAGAAGGGTTCTAGTGGTCTGTAAGAAGGGTTCTAGTAGTCTGTAAGAAGGGTTCTAGTAGTCTGTAAGAAGGGTTCTCTATAAGAAGGGTTCTAGTAGTCTGTAAGAAGGGTTCTCTATAAGAAGGGTTCTAGTAGTCTGTAAGAAGGGTTCTAGTAGTCTGTAAGAAGGGTTCTCTATAAGAAGGGTTCTAGTAGTCTGTAAGAAGGGTTCTCTATAAGAAGGTTTCTAGTAGTCTATAAGAAGGGTTCTAGTGGTCTGTAAGAAGGGTTCTAGTAGTCTGTAAGAAGGGTTCTCTATAAGAAGGATTCTAGCAGTCTATAAGAAGGGTTCTAGTAGTCTATAAAAATGGTTCTAGTAGTCCATAAAAAGGGTTCTAGTAGTCTGTAAGAAGGGTTCTCTATAAGAAGGGTTCTAGTAGTCTGTAAGAAGGGTTCTCTATAAGAAGGTTTCTAGTAGTCTATAAGAAGGGTTCTAGTGGTCTGTAAGAAGGGTTCTAGTAGTCTGTAAGAAGGGTTCTCTATAAGAAGGATTCTAGCAGTCTATAAGAAGGGTTCTAGTAGTCTATGAGAAGGGTTCTAGTAGTCTATGAGAAGGGTTCTAGTGGTCTGTAAGAAGGGTTCTAGTAGTCTGTAAGAAGGGTTCTAGTAGTTTGTTTTGAAGGTTCTGCTGGACTTTGAGGGGGTTGTAGTGGGCCATAATGGAGGTGTTTGGTTGAACAGAATCTTGTGGCTGTGTGGTGTTCAGGTCAGGTTCTGGGTTCTTTGTGATTGTTGTCCAGGTTCTAGAGGTCTTTGAGGAGGTCTCTGAGGGGGGGTTCTCCTGTTGGTTTTATCTTGGTTGCTGGTTTCTTTAAGGTCCATGTTCTGGTGTAGACATTCTGCTTAGGACAAACTGTCATTGGTGTTTCATTGGCTGTGATTGGTTAATTAGTCATTTAGCAGGTAATCAGCTGGGAGGCATCGTCATGGTGACAGCGATGATGTCACTCAGGGTGGTGGCTGCTGTGTGCGTCAGCTGCTGCCTTCATTTTTTTTGTTCTGAGATGAATTCAAGATAATTGACTGAGTCACAGCGGGAGAGCGTGCAGGTGTGTCCTTCAACTTCCTGTTTGAGAGCGAGCAGCTTCCTGTTTGAGAGCGAGCAGTTAACTGTCCTCAGCCTGCCAGCATGCCTCCTGCTGCACGCAGCACATTCCTCACTCATGACACAACGAGATGCGGCGGCCTGAGCGTCACGCTAACAAAGCTGTGATCAGCTGCAGGAACAGAGTGAAACACGGCCTGCAGCGACAGCTCACATTCGAGAACAACAGGAACAACCGAGTGTTTGTGAGAATATCTGTAAAAATGTAAAATGGGTAAAGGTCAGCGGAGGTCAGGAGGAGCTGAATGAACGAGCCTCAAACTCAGCAGACAAGTGAGTGTCAACGTACATGAATTCAACAATCAAGCAACATTTTGAAACTATTTCTAATGTTTGCTTTTTAGATTTTCATATGACCCTAAATGTTTACTCTGCAGCTTCTAAAGGTAAACGTCTCAGCTGTTACGCTGATGACATCACTTTATATTTAGATAAATAAGTGTAAATGTGTCTCTGAGTCCTGACTGTCTACAATGAGGGAGAAGCTCGAGTCCCGCTGGCTGTGTTGTTGTCAGAGCCGTGTTTACATGGACGGGACGGCCGGCTCCTCCCCTTGTGTATAAAAGCTGTTTTAGTCAAGAACTAGAGAGAAGAAGAAGAACATACTCACTGATTATTTGGATGTTAGTAAGAGTTTTTAGATCACGCTCATTCTGTGTCAGTTTACATGAAATGTGAAGCTACGAGCTAACTAAAGAGCGCTAACATTAGCATGCTAAAACAACAATGCAGGACACGGGTGAATGCAGCTCGAGCAAAGGACAATGTTGTCCTCCCCCGACGCCTGACTCGTTTGTGTGAATACGAGTGGAGGGGGGTTGGAGGTGTGTCTCTGGAGGAGGGCGGAGGCTTCAGTATGGAGGAGGCGTGGCCAAACAGCAGCTTGTTTTGGTTTCATGCTGGAGCTTAAGGGTGACATCTACCAGATGAAAACGCTGCTCATTCTTCATTTAAAGTGCAGATTGAGCACTCAGAGCTTTGTGTCTTCTCTGATTAGCTGGAGAGTTCAAAGAGCACAAAGTGTAAAGATTCTGCAGGAATCTGTGAATGAGTGAAACATCTGTTTGTTTTCAGTGAATAACCCCATCCCGGGAAATCTGAAGTCTGAGACCAAGAAGGTCGCCAAGATCCTCCGAGACTTCACAGAAATCTCCAACAGGAACGGACCGGACAAACTCATCCCCGGTAAAGACCCAAACACACACACACACACACGACACACACACTTTATCCATCACTCGGTCTGATGAGAAAGAGACGAGGACAACTGGACCGAGGGTAGAAGAAGAAACGGGCAACTAAACCCTCATTAGAAATAAAACTCTATCCGCTGTCCTGTTTCTTCATGAAGACTTAAAAACACCCGAAATAAAAAAAAAAAAGGAAAATGGAGTCGACTTCACGAGGCCACATCAGAAGTTTTTGTTTGTTAAAGTGTTATGTGTAGGCCCTCGATCTCGTCAGATGTTCAAATTGCAACGCAGCCGCCTGCCATTAGTGGGTGCTGTAGCTCTGGTTAATACTCTCTACGCTCCATTACCTGCATGTAAACAAGCACAGTGAACAGGTAGCACCTCGTAGCACAGCGCTTTGTTTAGATCTGTAAAACGGAGATGAAGTCGTCTGCAGGCTGTCGGGTTAAACCGAGGTATCGACCAGAGCGATGAGTCATCACCTTCAGCTCAGACGGGACGGCGTTAACCTGCAGGGACGTCTGAAGTAAACAGAAACCTAAAACATGAAGCCGATGCTGAAGTGTAAAATCCTGCAGTTCCTGGAGTGTCCACTGGAGGCTGGCTGCAGAAGAACAGGAAGTCACATACACACCCATTCTAAAAAGCCTAGATGAACATGTTTACAGCGTGTGGAGCCCCCTACAGGTTCAGACAGGTAGTGTCAGTATATTTACAGTCTGCTCTGCTCGCTCTGCTTGTTTTTAAATATTTCTGTGTTTTCAAACAGCAGTTCATTAAACATCCATGATATGATGATCGTTGTTTTGATGTTTGTTTGTTGATGTTGTGTTGCAGCTCATGTGATCGCGAAGGCCGAGGGTCTGGCCATCATCACCGTCATCAAGGCCGGCTTCATGATCACAGCTCGAGGAGGCAGCGGCATCGTCATCGCCCGACTCGCCGACAGACGTAAATAAAACCTCCTGACCGTCTCTGAGGTCCATGCAGGAATCCCCTCTTCCTCATACATTAACTTCATGTCCGCTGGTTTAAATTATTAAGTTTGTTGGCGTGCGTCGTGACACCACAAACCGCCTTGGGTCTCCCTGTCGCAGCGTGTGATGCGGCGGCGTGGAGTCATCTGACGTTTTTCCGGTTGTTACTTGTTTGTCCGGCGGTGGCGACTGGCTCAGAGACAAACTCCAACATGTGCCTGAAATGCCATAAACAGCCTGTCGGAATCTGGGGCTTTCCTGCTGCGCCACATTAAAGGAGCTGTCCGTCTAAAAACACATCTCACAAAGACTAATTCATTTGGGGATCCTCAAAAAGATCTGATATGACCAAGAAGAGAGGGAGAGAGGAAGTGCAGGACCACAACAGACCTGTTCACTCATAAGGCGGCCCTATGGGGCGAACAACAAACCACACATTGACCCAATAAAAGACACTAATCACCTTAACAAAAGTCAAAACAAAGAGATTTATTACAATTACTTCAACTTAATGATTACAAAGATTAACTTAGAAAGTCATTTAACAAAAGACAACAGACACTCCCTGACTGAGAGCCACAGCAGTCCCAACTCCAAAATGCCTCCTGCAGGTCAGGTGTGCCTCGTTGTTCAATTAGTGGCTTCACCTGGGCTGGAGACAACAGGAAGTGAGAAGGGACAAACAGTACAGGGACACATACAGCCGTAACACTGTACATATTGTTGTTCCTCCTGACGAGGACTTCTCTCCTTTCAGCATCAGAGATGAAACCTGGAGACGTTCAAGTCCACATGGAAACAATGAAATAATGCAAACTTCTCATTGTATGTTAACACCTTCAACGTCAAACCTTTTCAGTGTTCTTCTGAACACCTCGTGTAGTATTCAGAAGAACAGAAGCTTTAAAGAAAGAGAGAGAGAGCAGCTGGACTTCACCTTCACAGGTGGACAAACGCTGATGATACCCGAGTCCTTCTGACGTCTCTTAAAGATGTAAACGTTTCTAAAAGAGAGCGGAGCTGCAGGAGTCTGAAATAAATGAGTAAATGTTTTGTGCAGACTTTCAAACTGATATGTCTATCCTGAGAGTTTTACTACAATCATATCAAAGTTTCACCTACTTTATTAACCCATGAGGGGATTGAGAGACATGCTCATGGTCACACTCCATTTGCAGAGGCCCTAGTCCTCCAGGCGGGCTCTAGTCCTCCAGGTGGGCTCTAGTCCTCCAGGCGGGCTCCAGTCCTCCAGGCGGGCTCTAGTCCTCCAGGCGGGCTCTAGTCCTCCAGGTGGGCTCTAGTCCTCCAGGTGGGCTCTAGTCCTCCAGGTGGGCTCTAGTCCTCCAAGCGGGCTCTAGTCCTCCAGGTGGGCTCCAGTCCTCCAGGTGGGCTCTAGTCCTCCAAGCGGGCTCTAGTCCTCCAAGCGGGCTCTAGTCCTCCAGGTGGCTTCTAGTCCTCCAGGTGGGCAGCCCAGGTTCAAGTCCGACCTGTGGCTCCTTTCCCGCATGTCTTCCCCACTCTCTGTCCATTGTCCTATCACATAAAGCCTAAAAGCTAAAAAAAAAAAAAAAATCTTTAAAAACAGTTTCAAAGTTTACATTTCTGGTATCCTGACCACGCTCGCCATGTTTGTGTTCAGGCTGGTCGGCACCGTCCGCCATCGGCATCGCTGGTCTGGGTGGAGGCTTCGAGATCGGAGTGGAGGTGAGAGGTCAAACACAACCTTTGAGCATTTAATTTCCCCTGATATCATTCATCCTGAGTGGAGGTGATGTCTCCCGCAGGTGTCCGACCTGGTGATCATCCTGAACCAGCGCAGAGCCATCGAGGCGTTCACTAAAGGCGGGAACCTGACTCTGGGTGGGAACTGCACTGTTGCTGTTGGACCGGTGGGCAGGTGAGCACCTGCACCGTCACTCTGATTCTTAATAGTTATTTTTAATAACAGCTTAGATGTAATGTTTAATTCTCACTGAAGATTTATGAGACGTTAATGACAGAAGTTGTGTTTGTGGCAGTTTATAACATCTGCTGTTGTTTACTTGACCGGCGTTGATTTATGTCTGAGGTTCAATTTAGTACAATGGGATCAGTGTTACCTGCAGGCCGTCTGACAGGTTCTGATGTGTGTGTGTGTGTGGGCGTATGTGGGCGTGACCAGGTGTTTAATACATAAGACGCAGACAAAAAATGTGCTTTGATGTTGGACTGAATGTATTTGTGTTTTTTTAGAGTTTGTAAATCACCAGACATTTTCATCTTAGAGTCATAAACATTCAGAAACAAAGATATTAATGTCTCCTATCGACCAGAATTTAAAACTTTGATGTGATTATAGTCAAAAAAATTATTATAAAACCTGGGCTGATTCTGATATCGATATTGGGGACAAAGAAAATTCATATAAACATGCATTACGTTGATCCCTCAGTAGTCACTTGATATGCTAATATTGGCAGATAGTATCGGCTGGCCAATTAATCAGACGGGCTCTGCAGGGAAAACTGTACAATTGAGCGATTTAGACATTTCTTTCTCTTGCGGCAGCTTTTGTATAAAAACATGACTGAAGATAGCTTCTGTAAATTTTTCGATACTAAAGATCATTAAAGTTATGGAGATGGAATTGTTTTAAAACTTGTGTTGTTAAAAAGTATCATATCAATACCTTACTCCTATCGTACGAAACAAAGACTGAGCTTTAGCTTAAAATCTGAAAATAACAGAGGACCCAGCATCGAGCCTTGAGGAACACCACAGAGCAACAGCAGTCTGTAGATTGGTGAAAAAAAGCTAAATTAAAGCTAAAACAGAGAAATGCGTGAGTAAAGAACCAATCAGCACAATTTAACTAAATCTTACTGTCTTGAAAAAGTCTCTAAAACATCAAAATCTGGTAATCCAGAGTACACACAGACATTATGGTTTATTAAAGCATATTTCTGTCTTTCAGGAATGTGGAGGCCGACGTACTTGTCCGCAGCACAGCAGCCGTCTTCACCTACTGCAGATCCAGAGGTTTGTTTGCAGGGATTTCTCTGGAGGGATCTTACCTGATTGAGCGCAAAGACACCAACAAGAAGTACGTATGACATGCACAACAAAACCGACCTGCATCCCGCGTCTTTGTGTTTACACTGATGTTGATGTGTCTATGTGGCTACAGGTTTTACGGCAGAGAAATCCGTGCTTCGGCCATTTTGAATGGCGACGTGGAGCCACCCCCCGAATGCTTCAACCTCTACCACATCCTGGAGCAGTACACCGAGGCGTACTGCGCAGACTGGACGGCAAAGAACATGCGTCATAGGGTAAAAGACAACATGTACTAATGTAGACCAGTCTGGAACCCTGATTGGTCTGTTCACAATGCTTTGTCTTTAAAGGTCGATGTCTTTTCTTTCTCTGCAGTCTCTTCCTCCTGCAAGACCTCCAGCTCCATCCCAGCAACCTGGCGCTAACTACCAGCAACCTGCAGCTAACTACCAGCAACCTGCAGCGAACTACCAGCAACCTGCAGCGAACTACCAGCAACCTGCAGCGAACTACCAGCAACCTGCAGCTAACTACCAGCAACCTGCAGCGAACTACCAGCAACCTGCAGCTAACTACCAGCAACCTGCAGCGAACCCTGGTAAAACCTCGCTCAGATATAAGTTTGTTGATGTATGACTAAATATGTGTTTAATAGTGGGTGTGGGTCTGGGTGTGTGCACAGGTGGAGAAAATAAAAGCAAACTCTACCCGAGCATCTCCGTCTACAAATCAGAGACCTCAGGTAAGTTTTACCTTCATCAGTCTTCACAACTGGTGTCCTTTGTAGTGTTATATCCCCCCCCCCCCCCCCAACACACCTTTTAGTTTTTTCTTTCCCTTTAGTTTCCTTCTTTACCCCCCCTTGCCACTTTTCCTGTTCTCTGTCTTCACTTGGTCCTTCTACATCACCTTCTTCACCTCCTTATTTCCTTCTCTACCTCCTTATTCCCTTCTCTACCTCCTTATTCCCTTCTCTACCTCCTAATTTCCTTATTTGCTTCCTTGCCCACTTCTTTACGCTCTGTCCTTCACCTCCTTTCCTTCTCTCCTTTGATGGCACATTGAGCCGCTCTTTATTGAAGGTTTTTGATGCAGCAGCTCCCTCTAGTGGACACATTAGGTAACTGCTGAAACAGCAGAAAATAAAAACACTGATTCAAAATCTCACAGTGAATAAATCTTGTAATATTCCAGATGTTCAGTCCCAGCAGCACAAAGTGATGAATTATTAATAAACTGAGTTTTTCAGATTTTTAACTCTTTTCTGTTTTTCTGTTTCAGGTCAGTTCGCCTCCAGGAACGCTCCAAACGTCGGTAAGAGAAACGATCACTCTGCATGTTTGACATCGTGTAACACATCGTCTACAAACTCATCAAAACAGCCAGTTATTGTTTTTCATTCTTAATTTAATTACAGATTAATTAACGAGCTTTAGAGGAAACCTTTGGACTCAACCAGGCTAGTTGTTTCTGATGCTAAGCTAAATTAGAAAACATTTATTAACAATGAGGCCCGTGTCCACCTGGCTGTGCGGTCTGGAGTGTCAGCATGAAGCGTTTGAGCACTGAGAAGAAAAGTGCTGCATGTCCGTCCTGTCTCCATGACAACAGTCTGTTGACCACGCCCCCTGTATAAGCAACACGGTGGACACGGCGCCTGAGTCAGCAGAAAATGAATCATGTCGTCATTTAAAAAGACAAAAACATCTCTGCGTCACTCTGTTTATTTTGGATTCTTTAAAACCTCTTCTCCTATTGGTCCAGGTCCATCAGGAGGCGGGGCAAGCGGGCAGCTGGTTGTCACGGCGACCCACCCATTCACAGGGGAACAGCCCGGCGACCTCAGCTTTGTCCCCGGTGACCACATCACCATCGTCACCAAGACCGAGTCCCAGTACGACTGGTGGGAGGGGCAACTGGCCGACGGGCGGGTCGGGATCTTCCCCGCTAACTTTGTCTCTTTCTGATCGCTGCCCCCAGGTGGTCTGAAGGAGGTACTGCAGGTAAAGCTGAGAGAGGTCAAGAGAAACAATGGTGTAGGATTTAATCAAATATAAATAATCATTAATCTAAAAACAATAATGATCGTCTTAAATCTGACGTTTTATAAACACGACAAGGTGAGACGTCTGTGTGCTCTGACCAATCAGTGAGCAGCAAAATGACTCTGAAGGTGCAGGTCAGTCGCTCTGAAGTGTCTACGCTTAGATTTAGTTTCCTGTTTGTTTATTGGACAGCTGGTTGTCATGGTGATGGGAGGTGAAAGCACTTTGAAGATGATGACGGTGATTTATTGAATATTAAAGTTACAGCTTCATGTCGAACAGTATTTCAAGTGATCTGTTACACACGTGTGTTGTCATGGCAACGCATTCAAATCATGTTTCACATGTTTACAGTGACCGCTGTATGTGGTCAGGAGGTGTTTGGGATCTTCTCTGTTCTTTACATTTTAGAGGTCTGAAATAAAAGTCCTTTTAAAACACTGTTTGTTTTTTATTCATTCAAATAAAAAGAAGAAAACTTAAAGGAGCAGTATGTAACTCTGACCCCCTAGTGTTTAAAATGGGTACTGCAGTCTAAATTCTAAACATCATAGAGAGTTGTCTTCCCCCCCCCTCCTCTCTAGAGTGGATGCTCACTCAGGTCACCATGTGGTGGACTCTGAAGCTTCAGTGTTTATCCAGCTCTGCATGGGTCTGTAAACCTTTCTGTGTTCTAACCTCTCTCCATTTTTCAAAAGCATCTCCAATATTGATCCTAGTTTGAGCACGTTTCTGCTCGTGGAGCTTATTAGAAACATGCAGAGGCTTTTTAGGTCGGGTACAATCACTTCTATCTGAACCACTTCTCTTGACCGCTTCCATCGCTGCAACACCTGTTGACCTGATAACTGCTCTCATATCTGACAAACTGAGGGGCGTCCAAAACGTCTTGAATACACAGATATGTAACACTCCTGACAGACTTTAAAGGATATTTTTTGTGTGTAAAAATAAACACAGGTGATGATGTTGGCCGTTCACTTATAGGACTCTAACCTCCGTACATGAGACGCCTAACCACTAGGCCATCTGTGCCCTGAATGAATGGGAATGTAAAAAGCTGGATTTCTGTCGCCAAATAAAAGTCGGATTGATGATCCAGAACGTGTGTGTGTGTGTGTGTGTGTGTGTGTGTGTGTGTGTGTGTGTGTGTGTGTGTGTGTGTGTGTGTGTGTGTGTGTGTGTGTGTGTGTGTGTGTGTGTGTGTGTGTGTGTGTGTGTGTGTGTGTGTGTGTGTGTGTGTGTGTGTGTGTGTGTGTGTGTGTGTGTGTGTGTGTGTGTGTGTGTGTCACCTGCTTGTCTGCTGTTTACCTGTCACCTTCCTTTCTGCCTGTTAAGTCTGTAAATCCTGTAATCTCTCCTGCTGATTAAAACACACACACACACACACACTGTCTGTGTGTGTGTGTGTGTGTGTGACCTCTTCTCCATTACATGCTGCTCTCTCTTTCTCTTTTTCTTCATTATTTGACATTTAAACCTGCAGGATGTTTTTTTTTTCCGTTTCTCTCTGATTGATTCGTTAACTGGTCGTGTGTCTGTTTCTCATTGGACGGTAGTTTGAGCGTCTGCAGGGAGACGAGACACACGGCGAGCAGACACTGAAACATTTGTGTTGACTCTTCATCATTTATAAATCAGGGACTTTATTAACTCTTTGTCTGCTGCTGCTGCTGCTGCGTGCTGATTGGCTTAGACTCAAACACCTGCAGCTCTGCAGTCAGGTCACACACCTGAGCCTGTGTTAGAAACTTAGAGACTCTAACTGTACAGCTGCTCCTTTGGAGGCTGATTCTTCACCTACACACCAGAATATTCAAAATATTCTTATTCTTATTCCTTCAAAATAAAAGCCCTTTTATGCTTTCAGCTGAATTCTTTGGTTTTTGTGACTCCATCGTTTTGAATCTTCTCCACCTTCCAGACTTTCTACTCACATGTTATCAGGGGCGTGTCCAGACTGTTTGGACTGGGGGGGCCCACCTGGGGCGGGGACTTCTGCGGGGGTGGCCCAAAGTAAAAAGCAGACAAATGAACAGTAATGACTTGAGATCTGCTTTCTAACAGGAGACGATGAGACACAGTTCTCCTCTTAAAGAACTAAAAACATGTCAACTATCGGGTCCCTCAGACGAGCAGGTAGCCAATCAGAGTGTAGCTCCTCTGGCCCCGCCCCTCAGCGTGATGAACAAAGCTCCACGTTGAGTGAAATAATGACATAAATAATCTCCTGACTCGTTTTCATGTCGATTTAACCGTAAACATTTTGTTTGTGCTGCAGGATTCTGAACGTCATCAACGGACAAATTAAAGATGAGAGGAGGGAGGTGTGTGTGTGTGTGTGTGTGTGTGTGTGTGTGTGTGTGTGTGTGTGTGTGGTGTGTGTGTGTGTGTGTGTGTGTGTGTGTGTGTGTGTGTGTGTGTGTGTGTGTGTGTGTGTGTGTGTGTGTGTGTGTGTGTGTGTGTGTGTGTGTGTGTGTGTGTGTGTGCGCGTCTCTGCGTGTGTGTGTGTGTGTGTGTGCGCGTGTGTCTCTGCGTGTGTGTGTGTGTTCCTGTGTGTGTGCGTGTGTGTCTCTGCGTGTGTGTTCCTGTGTGTGTGCGTGTGTGTGTCTCTGCGTGTGTGTGTTTGTGCGCGTGTGTCTCTGCGTGTGTGTGTCACAGAGAGAGAGAGAGGGTGAGTGAGCGAGCTCCAGTCAGTCTGATTGTTTCTGAGGTTCAGTCCGTTTTGAGGCCGAGCAGCGACTCTCTCACTTTATTCATTTTTATAATATTTCATTTAACTAAAATATAAAACATTGTTTTTATTTTTTTTGACTCCTGATTCTGAGTCTCGTTTGATTTTGGATCTTTTTTCTCGTGTTCAGCAGCGTGAAGTTCGTCTCAGGTGAGTCCACCTTCTTCTCTTTTTTTAGCGTCTTTCAAAACGATTTGTTGAAATACGATGAATGTTTCTAAATGAGGAAACATGAGGCGTGCTTCAATTCTTCATTTATCTTTATTTGAATTCATCATTCTTCAGTTTGAAATATTTAAACACATGAAATAAAACTGCATGTAATCGCCTCCTGCCTACACATATTGAAAAAAAAACAAATGTTAAATCACAAAAAAGAAATAAAACCTCATTCAGTCTGATGTAATTTAAATAAACACTTATAATTAATATAATTAATATAATTATAGTTATTATATTTAAAGTGTCTCCGCAGACGGATTTCAAAATAAAACAGTTTAATTAAAGTTAGGTGTAAATGAATGAATAAATCTGATTTATGTGAAAATATTTCTAATTTTGTTTATTTGTCATGGACCTACAGAAACATTTGACCCTGCAGCGCTCTGTGTTTATAAATGATCATTTGCAGCTTGTGTCCTCGCCACGCTTCCAGAGAGAACAGGTGATGTTTGAAATACAAAGACAGAAAGGAGGCAGGACACGTGTGAACTTTGAATGGTTTTAGTGAGAGAATATATTCAAGGAGGAAAACTAAAGAAATGTTGGAATGGATTCAGAATCCTGATAAAGTTTGACCCTCTCAAGCCTCCGTAGGCCGAGGTCATTTTCAGTGTTTAAGCCGTTCTAGATACTCCGCAGCTCTCTCAGATCCTCCTGCAGCACTTTGATTTCAATCTTTTTTTTGTGTTAGAAGAAACCGTTATGAACACGATGGTGAAGACTCTATGTCTGTGTGTCAGAGATCATTCAAGTGAAGAAGCTTTAAATCACCATGGTGAAACTTTGGATGATCAAGATTTAAAAGTCTTCAGAGCGGAGGGTTGAATTTCTGTTCTCTGTGAGGAGACTCACAGGTGTCACTGTAAATCTGAAACACACACCTGCTCAGCTCCTCCACCGCACGTTCCCTTACTGCCCTTAAAGTTTTAAACTGCTTCAGATTTTTTATAAAATGTTTATATTTCTAACTTATTCTGTTAGAGCGCTCAGCAGGAGCGCTGCTGTTTCATTTTATTCTGATGCTATTTTATTATTAACGCCTTTATTATATGTTTTAGTAAAATACACCTCATTAAGATCCTACCTTCACCTCATTAAAATCCTACCTTCACCTCGTTAAGATCCTACCTTCAGCTCGTTAAGATCCTACCTTCACCTCGTTAAGATCCTACCTTCAGCTGGTTAAGATCCTACCTTCAGCTGGTTAAGATCCTACTTTCACCTCCTTAAGATCCTACCTTCAGCTCGTTAAGATCCTACCTTCAGCTGGTTAAGGTCCTACCTTCAGCTGGTTAAGATCCTACTTTCACCTCCTTAAGATCCTACCTTCAGCTCATTAAGATCCTACCTTCAGCTGGTTAAGATCCTACTTTCACCTCCTTAAGATCCTACCTTCAGCTCATTAAGATCCTACCTTCAGCTGGTTAAGGTCCTACCTTCAGCTGGTTAAGATCCTACCTTCAGCTGGTTAAGATCCTACCTTCAGCTCGTTAAGATCCTACCTTCAGCTGGTTAAGATCCTACCTTCAGCTGGTTAAGATCCTACCTTCAGCTGGTTAAGATCCTACCTTCAGCTGGTTAAGATCCTATCTTCAGCTCGTTAAGATCCTACCTTCAGCTGGTTAAGATCCTACCTTCAGCTGGTTAAGGTCCTACCTTCAGCTCGTTAAGATCCTACCTTCAGCTGGTTAAGATCCTACCTTCAGCTGGTTAAGATCCTACCTTCAGCTGGTTAAGATCCTACCTTCACCTCATTAAGATCCTACCTTCAGCTGGTTAAGGTCCTACCTTCAGCTCGTTAAGATCCTACCTTCAGCTGGTTAAGATCCTACCTTCAGCTGGTTAAGATCCTACCTTCAGCTGGTTAAGATCCTACCTTCACCTCCTTAAGATCCTACCTTCAGCTGGTTAAGATCCTACCTTCACCTCGTTAAGATCCTACCTTCAGCTGGTTAAGATCCTACCTTCAGCTGGTTAAGATCCTACCTTCAGCTGGTTAAGATCCTACCTTCACCTCCTTAAGATCCTACCTTCAGCTGGTTAAGATCCTACCTTCAGCTGGTTAAGATCCTACCTTCAGCTGGTTAAGATCCTAGCTTCACCTCGTTAAGATCCTGCTTTCAGCTTGTTAAGATCCTACCTTCAGTTGGTTAAGATCCTACCTTCAGCTGGTTAAGATCCTAGCTTCACCTCGTTAAGATCCTGCTTTCAGCTTGTTAAGATCCTACCTTCAGCTGGTTAAGATCCTACTTTCACCTCCTTAAGATCCTACCTTCAGCTCGTTAAGATCCTACCTTCAGCTGGTTAAGATCCTACCTTCAGCTGGTTAAGATCCTACCTTCAGCTGGTTAAGATCCTACCTTCAGCTGGTTAAGATCCTACCTTCAGCTGGTTAAGATCCTACCTTCACCTCGTTAAGATCCTACCTTCACCTCGTTAAGATCCTACCTTCAGCTGGTTAAGATCCTACCTTCAGCTCGTTAA